TTTTTCTTCTACTGAGTAATAGCAAATAAACACAAAAAATTATAGAGAGATACAATGAACTTCTTATCAGATAAAGTAAATTTTTTTGATCACTGTCACCACGATCACTAAGATCACCATAAACATCAGTATAAACAACAACAGCAGCAGCAGCAACAGCAGTATCATCTTCGACGACAGTGCTATTGATTAAAACAGTCTTCTGGCATCAGTGTTTGATGTTTATACCTTCCTATTCGCCTTATTTTCTTTCTTATTCTTGCCGTTCCTTATGCAGTAACAAAAGTTAAATAACAACAATGTTTTTTTTTCTGCTAATTATCACAGATTTTATTCTGATACAATAAGTTGTTCAATTAATCAAAATTTATTTAAGCAAACACTGTCTTTACTACGTTCACAAGAATAGCATCATTTTAATCACATTCTCTGTCCTTTCTACATAATGGATTTAGTCAACAGAATACCAATTAGACAATGTCACTATTGTTGTATTCAACTTTTACTCTTTTTTGGTTTATCACTTACAGTAGTCTAATTGACAGTAACTGTCTCTTCAATCAAATGATTTAGTTATTCTTATTAAATCTTATTAATTATTCCATTTTTTTCATTAGTCTTAAACAGTTATTCTGCTAAACGTTCATAAACATATTCATCATTCAGTTATTTCAATTGTTTATAGTAACTGAAATCTGTGGTACATAGTAGCTGAGGTAATGAGTAATTCGGTTACCGTTAAATGTAAGAGCCAGTGTTTTATTTATTTTTGTTTGATTATTGTATTTTAGCATTTTGAGACTTGTTCACCGCAGAAAAGCATTAACCAATTTTTTCTTTAAATTGTTAGCAGGCTTTAGCTGGAAAAGACGCAAAAACTGCCTGATTCAAATATTTTTGAACTACTTTTTTTTCATTTTGTTTAATAAGAGCTTTAGTTATTTTTGCTTCGAATTCATTTGAAAATTCTGTGCTTTCTTAAGGAAAAGGTTCATTTTTGATGGTTTCAGAACTGAATTTCTGCCGGTTACTGGCTAAGATCAAGATATTTCAGTTCATTTTCTATCTGTTGCTGTCAGAAAAGCTGTTAACAAGTACACGTTTACTCGTCAAATTGAACAATCTATAGTTAGCACAGTAAGGTATAAACTAGCTGCACATAAGGCATATCTATGCGACCTCATTAGCAACGATTTTTTTCTGGAATATTTTTTCCACCAAATACATCATTAGCTAAAATATGATTTTGCATACTGCCAGTAAGCTTCTGTATACTTAACATTTAACTAAGTGATAACAGGTTTAAGAAGCAAAAATTTACCCAACATTCTATTATAATTATTGATTAGTCCACTGAACAGTTATTGATATAATCATTAAGCCTTTAACTATGCGATGAAGAGACTGTTCAACGCTTTCAACCTTTAGACACTGCCATGCATTCTTTTTTGGTATCAGTCATACTACAGAAAAAAGAAAAAAAAAGAAACAAAAAAATGCTGGCAGGTCATCCAATTATTGTTCTTTTACCGCGATTACTGTGAAAGTGTCAACCATCAGTAAGGTAACTGCAGCAAAAAGAGTTAAACTACTTAGGAACCGCTTGTTAGCTTAGTCAAGCTCTAAGTCTCTATTGCATCATACGTAGATATTCTACCTTTCAACGAAGAAAACGAGTCTTATAAGTGAACAAAATTCTAAGATACATATTTTAGTCCATATTACGTTAAATTTAGGCAAAACTAATGACCAAAATAATAGATTTTTTTTATACAGTCAAAATATCAACAAAGGTTCAAGGATTGCAGAGTGTTTAGTCTTCAGTGCAATATTGCCGTCTAACTTTAGAACACCGAAAAATGAACTATTTTAAGGTGAGACACCATCAGTTGCTTGCGACAAATTGAATTATAAGCTTAATAAGAAACACTCATATTTGTGGGCCTGTAAATTGTCAGAACTGCTTTCTTAATATTGTTTAACCGTTTTTTTTT